TGGAACCTCGGCATAGGAAGCCGAAATGTTAAATAGCCGTTGCCACGTCTACCATGGGCCCGTCTATCAGTTGTTTGCCGAGGTTTTTTCACATGCATGCTCAGCATACATGTGACACCTAGAATTTCGAAACTAACAAAAAGAAAAAAAAGAAAAAAGTATATTTTTCATCCCTCAACTTTTTGTGGAGTCTTGATTTGGTCCCTTAACTTCAAAACCGGACAACTTGCACCCCCAACTACCAAAACCGGACAAGGTTCATCCCCGGTCTTGGTTTTGATCGGTTCTGGTGCTGACTCACCCCGGTTTTGACCGGTGCTGACTCAAATTCACGTATTTTTTCATATTCGTGAACTTTTTGGAATTCACATACTCTTTTCAAATCCATGTTGTTTTTGCAAGGTCGCATAATTTTTTCAAAAATAAACATACTTTTTTCAAATTCGTGAACTATTTTAAAATTTGCTTACTTTTCTCAAATCCGTCTTTTGAAAAAAAATTGCGTATTTTTTTCAAATCCGTATATTTGTTTCCAAGTTCGTCTAATTTTATCAAATCCATGAATTATTTTTGAAATTCGCATACTTGTTTCTAATCTACATACATTTTAAATTTCAGGCGTTTCTTTCAAATCCATGTCCCTTTTCCAATTGATGAACTTTGTCTGAAACTCACGTACTTGTTTCAAGTGGACATATTTTTTCAAATCCACATAAATTTGCGTAAAAGAGTTTGAAATACGCGTACTTTTTTCAAGTTCGCATAAATTTCTCAAATTCATGAATTCTTTGCAAAAAAAGTATGCGAATATGGACGTCCATTTAAAAAATTACATGAATTTGAATAAACTACATGAACTTTTAAAAAGTACGCGGGGTTGAAAAAAGTACGTGGATTTAAGAAAAGTACACAACTTTTTTAAAAGTTGACATATTTGAGAAAAGTACCAGAATTTAAAAACATTATACAGACTTGAAAAAAGTACATGAATTTCAGTCGGCACGGTCAAAAGCTGAGTGGGACAGCACTAAAACCGGTCAAAACCGTGAACAAGGTTGAATCTTGTCCGGTTTCAGTAGTTAAGGGTGCAAATTGTCCGGTTTTGAAATTGAGGGACTAAATCTAGACTCCGCCAAAAATTAAGGGACGAAAAGTATACTTTTCTAAAAAAAATATTGTTGCCGAGTTTTCATTAGTTGAAACCCGGCAAATGTGGATGACCATCAGGTCTCCTTCGCATCGACGGTCGTTGGGTCCGAATGAATACATTGTCGAGTTTATTTTCGACGGTCGGCGATAATGCAACACTCGCTACCTAGTTTATTTGTTTTGCCGAGTGCCTTTTCCCAGGCAGTAGGCAAACTATCGGGTTTGCCGAGTTTCAAGTTACTCCCGAGTCTAATTATCGAAAAACTCGGCAGACACATTACTCTGCTGAGCTCCCGATAAATTGAACTTGGTGAAGCCGCAGAACTTGTCGAAATCTCAAATAACAGTAGTGTTATTTTGTTGTTCTACCGTTTTGATTTGATGCTTGGAGTTAATAAAAATACCCTTTATCAAAATAATAGTAAAAGAGAGTGTGAGAATGTTTCTAGGCTCTTAGATATGAGTCTCATGCAAACCAATGAAGTCAGGGAAATATATTCCCAACTATATTCCAGGGATTTAAAGTTGTACTGACAAATATAACAAAATGTAATACCAACCGCTGGCAAAATAGTAGTTGTCACATCCATCTATGCGTTATATATATCGTCTCTTGATTTCATGTGCCAACTCGTCCTGCACCAGCTAACCTCACGTTTATTTAATTTGCAGACCTATCCTTCTTTGTCTTAACGATCTCTTCTTTTTGCTCAAACTGATGATCTCTTCCATCTGTGTCTCCGCCAGCTTCCTTAGCTACTTCGATGGCCTCCCACTTGCATCCTTGATAGATTTGGAAGAGTTTGGTTCTTTCTTTGTTGTCTTCCTGCTTTTCTTTTTGATTTTTTTGCACTCATTTGGTGAAACCGGGTCCATAGAGGTGTCGATGTCCTCATCTATACAAAGAGCAAAAATTAATAGGAAGGAAATACAAATACAATCTTAAGATTAGGCAACACCTATCATAGCCTTGTGTGGTCTATAATTTCCGGAAGGAATCATGTTGATCTCTATTTCCTGTTTTTTATATTATATAATAATCCAGTCAGTGAACACTATGGGCAGAAGGACGGCACACTATTTCCATTTTTCTTAATATGTTCTTAAATTGTTAAAGATGCTTCCAATATGTTTTTCAAGAAAAACATGCATACTCTGCTACTACTCAAATCTAACTATCTAAGTGAACGAGTACTTATAAGTATACTTCAAAATTCACATGGCAAAGAGCCAAATGGATCGAAAAATCCACGTTTATTCAAGAGTTGATTGTACAAGATGTAAACCTGGAATGAACAAAACCTATTCTTATCAAATATTTTTCTAATGATTCAAATTAGATGACATTGAGTCTAGCATCGATGTCTAAAGTTTACGACATTTAATACGTACAAAGGTACTAAGCAAACCTAAAAGGCTTGGAGGTACTCAGCAAACTGTGGCTCATATTTGATTAGATAAAGTCGAGCGAGAAGTGATGCGTATCAGACAAACGGACAATCTGAGATAGAACAAGAGAAACCAAACCTGGTAATGTAAGTTCATTAAAAAAATAGAGGATTACATACGAGTATACAACCAAATTTAGTTGCCCACAAGATTGTGTTTTATGCATGAGGTTCCTTAGTAATTGATTTTCTTACAGTTTTTCTACTAGCTAGAATAGTTATTTCCTTGTATATCATCAATAACATTACAAAAGTATTTAGGTTAACTAATACTCGCTGTGTAAAAAATATAAGATGTTTTAGGTCATTAAAGAAGTGACCTAAAGCATCTTACATTTGTTTACAGAGGGAGTAGTACACTGGATAACAGAAACTTAACAAGAAATATGCGTGGTATATGCAACGTACCTCTATTTAAAGTTTTCTCATGGTAATTTATTTCCACCTCTCGTGATGATCTTCCAGGTTTTGATGAACTTGCAGTTTTTATAGCAGCCCTCTCGTCTTTTGTTAGTAATCTTTTACGCAAACTCTCATGCTGTGAAAATAAGTAGTTAAATATAAGTAGCAAATACCAAGCGGCCAGCTTGGTAAGTTGCCAACAAAAACTTGCAATAAATATAAGTACCAAATATCCATTTACAAAACAATTTCGTTGGTAAGATTTTCAAGGTTTTATTAGTAATTTCTAAGCAACTCTTGTTTGGTAAAGCTGACAGTTCTAACATCTGACACATTTTGATATTCAATTATCATGGTATGCCCTATCTGAGTAGCAACACATGCAATCATACTAGCCATGGAGACACCGATCTTATAACAAGTTCTCTAAGCTGTTGAAAAATACCTCTGAAAAGTTGACACACTAATAAAGAGAACGACCCAGTTGCAAGCAGTCTAATGTAGATTGAACATAGGCAAGTATTTTTGGATGAACTGTGTTTCTTTTCATATATTCTAATACTAGAAGTACATTGGCTTTGTAAAAGCTTGGTTGTCCCTCATGTACACAAGAAAGCAAGTTTAGTTCAGCTGCGCACAAAGGGAGCAAAATAAGATTATTTTATCCTATTAGAACCTATGATAAAGTTTTCTTGGAAAAAAAAGAAAGTATACTCAAGGGTGCAATGGAATAGATATGCTCAGAGAGTGCAATGGAATAGAACATCTGTGTATTGTTGTGGATAGCACAGCTAGTCGGAGGCGTT